TAAAGAGTGATTTTAATTGTAGAGAGGATTAAATTCTAAAATATAATTATTTTGTTTGACAAAATAAAAATAAAAATTATCAAAATTTTTGGAATTTGAATGAAAATTTTCATGTTTCTTACACAAATTTTGTTTCAATTTTAACTACAAAATTTAATTGTAAAATTTAATTTTTAATTTTTTATATTGCTAATAACATCTACACATTTTTACAAATTTAATGAGGCCTATATTACATATATTTTTTAGTATTTTATTATATCATTATTTATCTATTATAATTATTCTTTATTTCATCAAGTTTTAATATTTAAAATTTCTTTCTAAAAATAATTATCTAAATAATAGGTTAAATATTTAATTTGAGATTAAATGTTTACGTGATTATTCAATTTAAGATTAATTATTTTAATTTATATGAATAAAGATTAAACATTATCGAATATTTACACTTAAAGATAAAATTAGATGAAAATATGTGTGCGTGAAACATGCACCGTTAACTTTAATAAAAATAATAATTAAATGAAAAAATGATCATGTATCACTTTTTTAATGGTTATGTATTATTTTAAATAAAAAAATTAAAAATAATCCTAAAATTGAGAATTACTTTTTAGAAAAAATTTAAAAAATCATTTCAAAATTTTTATTATTTTAAATACAGTTTAAAAATAAAAAGTATAAAAAAAATTCAAAGTTTTAGTTTTTTTACACAATAATTAAATTTTCAATTACTCAATGTTAATCTATCCAAAAAAAAAAAAACATCAATCCATATTATAATAATCATAAAATTAAAAAACCCACAATTAAACCAAAAAATTTTTGTTTGATTTCAAAAATTCAAATTGTACTTTCTCTCAAAGTCTTCAAGGAATTACTTGAGAACAAGGCTAGATGGTGAAGCCAAGTTTTGACTTCTTTCTATAATCTATAGACAAGCGCTCCAAAATGAAAACTAGTTCCACCACCAACAGTATTAAATACCAAAAATCCTTACAAATCAAAGCAGTAGTTAGCCAATTTTCTTAGCCCTCTTATAACAATCTACCTGGTATATCCCTCTACAAGAACAGAATAAAGGGAAGTTTTGTAGAGAAACAAGAGTTGAAGGGAGAAAAATCTGCAGCTAGGACAAAAAAATCTAGAGAGAAAGAAAAAAAAATTTTGTTTTGTTCTTACGAAACTAATGTTTTTAATGATTTTATTTTTTTAGTTTTGGGTATAAATCAATGTTAGAATAAAACTAAATCATGTAAGCAAACAATACGTACGAGACACGCACAAATTTTCCTCCAAATTTATTTTTTATTATAAATATTTGATAATATTTAATTTTTATTTGCATAAATTAAAATGATTAAAATAAATATTGAATCTTAGATTGAACATTTAACTTAAACAACGTAACTACAAATTCTATTGTTTTGAATTGATACATTTTAAAATATTAATATTTTGAAATTCTTTAAAATTTTTAAGTTTCTCATACAAAGAGACCTCATACTGCTAAGCTTAGGAAGCATCACACCAACCAAAAAGAAAAAAACAATTTCAGAATCCATATCTGGATTTGATAATATATTCTCTTTCGGTGCAGGGACAAGAAAGGTAGGTGGGAAGCTTTTTTTTTTTTTTTAATAAGAAAAGTTTGAGGTTAATAGGTTATTCAATTCTTTAAGTTAACGTAAGATGTGTTATATCTAATAGTTTAAGATTAATGGTTGTAAGTTGTGTATTCGAGATGACTTCAATAAGTGACTATCGATAAAACTCGAACTCAAGATTTTTTCGTCGAAAAAAACGAATCTAACTAATTGAATCAATCACTTGTTGGTAGTATTTGTGAAGCTTTTTTATTATCTAAAAGTAATATTATTATGGAATTTTAGGTAAGAATTTTTTGAAGATGTTGCACATATGTCAATGTCAGTCTGAGATGAAAACGTCGCATACCCACATCTCATGCGAGTTCTCACGACACCTTTAATTCCTAGTCCAGGTGCACGCCAATGCCATGGCATCCGGTTCTTAATTTTATTGGGAAACTTTAATTGCTTGGGTTTTTCTTTACGAAGTTAAATTATTATGAGTAAAAAATACTGGTATAATCACAATAACCTATTATATCTCATATAAAGATTTAACAAAATAAATTAAATAGATCAAGTAACAAATTGATATAAAATTGGATTAATCTAATATACAATTAAATCAAATTTACGTATGATAAAACTTTAATTTAAGGCATCAATATTTTAAAATTTCTATTTGCTGTTGAAATAAAAATTTTAATTTAACTAAAATTTTAACTTTTATTATATATTATTTATAAAATGGTTGGACATAAATATTAACGACCAAATTCTTAAGTTACATCCTGCCACAATACAAGAAATATGGTAATCTGCAACAAAATTTTATATAACACTGCAAGGTGTTTCATCATTATAGTACATGTTGGAACTTTTAATTTAAAGATCACAAAAATTTTCCTCGCCTCATATATACATTAAAAAAAAAAAAAAGCAAGAAAACTACTAAGGGCTCAAGGGAAATGCATCAGCAAAAACTCAAAAGGGATAGCATTTGAGGGGCAAATATCCTTTATAAGGATTTTAAAAAAATTTCAAAGCTACCTAGTTTGTTGCATTGTATGGTTTTGGCGACCCAAGTTTGGTCTTTAAGTTTATCCCTTGAGAATTGGAGGGGTGAGGAGAAGGTTTAAGACTTAAAGATGGTAAGATAGGAAAAAGAGTGTTTTACAAATGACATCATTTGATTTACTTTCATTATATGTATTTATATGTTAATTGATGTGTACTATTTGTTGAAAATAGTAACTCAAATCTCATGATAGATTTATTTAGGATTGGTTAGATATTGTTTGATGAACAAGAAAACTTATAGAAAAAAAATTTCAAGAGAAAAAGATTTTTAATAGGTAAGTTTGACTTGCAAAAGAGTAATTCTAAGAAAAATGGATTCTTAATAGGTAGATTTGTATGGTTATAAATAGGTGAAGTCTCTACAAGGTTAGGTATGAGAAAAAAATATAAGAGAGTTATAGATTTTATGAGATATACACCTCATAGGAGTACTAAAAATTTACGTCTTATGGGTGTGTATGTTTATATGTTTGTAAGTGGATTAGAGAAAATTAAGAGGGTTTACATAGATGTGGGATATGGAGTAAACTAGAGAGATTGAAAGAATCCACATAGGTTTGATGAATGAGTACATATGGGTATGTGTTTGTTTGTTTTGAAAAGTGCACATTGATATATGTTTGTTTAGATTAAAAATACTCCATAAGACTAGAGGAGATTGAGAGGGTCTATGGGTATTAGTTATGATTATTTGATTTGATTTGTATATTTGTAATTCTTTATAACTAGTAGATCTTTTTTTTTATCCATGGATATAGGTTGGTTTAACCGAACTAATGTTAAATTGCTATTTTTTGTATGATTAATTGATTATTTGATTTACTTATGCTGATGTAATGGGATTGGGGCTATTTGGCCTAACGAGTGGTATCAAAGCTATGATGATCCCTAACAAGTAGTATCAAAGCATAGTTCAAGCCGTGAGAAAAGGCAAGCCTAGAGAAGCTCAATTTAAGATAAGAGTTTGAGTTTATACTTTGAGGATTGAGGATCGGTTTACGTGAAGCTTGAAAACACATAAGAGAAAATGATTATGAGACTTTCATTGTAGGTGGAGCCAAACATATCTAGCATAAAGACAGTTAGTTTGATGAAATTTGAGTCAAGGTAAAAATTGTTAGGAATAGTGACTCAAATCTTATAATAAATTTGTTTGAGATTAGTTAGATATTGCTTGATGGATAAAAAGACTTGCAAAAGAAGAATTCTAAGAGAAAAAGATTCTTAATAGGTAAGTTTAACTTGCAAAAGAAGAATTCTAAGAGGAAAAAGATTCTTAATAAGTGAGTTTGCATGATTATAAATATGTGAAGTCTCTGCAAGGTTATATATAAGAAAAAGATATAAAAGAGTTGTAGAGTTTTATGGGATAGACACCTCATAAGAGTACTGAAAATTTATATCTTATGGGTATGTATGTTTGTGATTAAACTAGAGGAAATTGAGAATGTTCATATAGGTATAATGCATAGGAGTGGACTAGAGGAGATTGAGAGGATCCACATAGGTTTGATGAATTGACACATTTGGGTATGTATTTGTTTGTGTTGAAAGGGTACACATTAGTATATGTATTTTGTTTAAAAATACTCCATAGGATTAGAAGAGATTGAAAGGGTCTATGAGTATTAGTTATGAGTATTTGATTTGATTTATACGTTTGTAAGTCTCTACAACTAGTGGATCTTTTTTTTTTATCTATGGACTAGGTCGGTTAAATCAAACCATGTTAAATTATTATCTCTTGTGTGATTAATTAATTATTTGATTTTACTTCTGCTAGTGTGATTAGATTAGGGCTTTTTGACCTAACACTATTGCAGCAGCTAACTTGATTAAACTCTGGCCAGCAGAACTGGTTGTATCGGTTCAACAAACATGAATTTCAACTCCAGCAGGTTTAACTAATTATATATGAAAGTGAAATTCATCACATGTCAATCTTGGTCTACACATCATAGAACAAGTATATAATATAATAACATGTTAAAACACATGATTTTTTTTTTTTTTTTTACATAAGAAGCCGTAGTTTGAGAATGTAGACAAAGATAAAATATATGAGATTTGAATAACAAATTTATTAGATGTCATTTCGTAAGAGTGGTTGCATGAACCAATTGAGCTAAACTTCAAATTCAAAATGCAAATGATTTTAGTTCAAGTTATAATTTACCATAAAAATATTAAGAATAAACTGGTGTTTGATCAACAAATTTTTTGCATAAATCTAGAGATTACATCAATCCTTCATTCCATGGTTATTGATTAGGCTTAAGTAGTATTCTTTTAAGAATATATTATATATAAAGCATCCCAAAGTAGCAATCTAATTTCATTCATTTTCCCTGGTGATAATGAAGCTTTTCTATCTCTCAAATCATCACTATAGGTATATAATATGTAGAAGATTGTATTATTAGAGACGAAAATAAGAATTATATATAATGAAGAATGTCTTGCACGTAGCAGATCAGGTTGAAAGAATCAAAGCCAACCTGCAGTATGCTTATTCGAACCTCCGTCCACCCTAGCTTCAGTTCCCCTTTCTTGGGGAATAAACCGATGGTACCTGTTTCAATTGCTGCAATTCATCAGACCATATAAAATCTTTAAAATGAAAAAATCCTATGATTTTGGTCGTACAAGATTTGCCACTGTTGCCAATATCAGGAATTTTCTAATGTTAATTAAAGTTAAAAGCTTGTGGCTGAAGATTTGGTTTTTAAAGGGATTAATACAAATTTCAATAAGATCATTTGGGTTGGAGTCTCGGTGAAAGAAATTGAAAGTCGCAAACCAATGATCACAAATCAACAATTCACAAACATTATATCAAAACTGATTGTATCCATAATGCAAATAAAGACAATAAATTAATTGAAAGAAGATTAAAGGTCAAACTGAGCTATTGGTTTCTATATTTTGGCCAAAATACGGATTTAGTTCCTCTATAACGATTTTAACATTGATACTATCTCCATGTTAGCAATTGTCCAAACAATTTGAAGTAAATAAGGTCAAGCCAACAAGCCATAGTTCACATCATCAGATTTAAAGGAGGAAATCGAATGATGTTAGCAATTGGATCAAAATTTTAACTCGCTAAAAATAGAGTTATTAAAAATAAATATAAAGGGATTAAATTCACATTTTCGTCTAAATACAATATGGATAGCACAATTTGACCAAGAGTAAAACCTTACCCCATCTGTATACAGGGTTCTTGCTGGGCGTGATTAGCTTGTGACGAAGTCCTATTGTATTCATTACCAACTTCAATGTTAGGATCTCCTAACCCTTGAGCTGGTTGAAAACATTGCTCTAACTCTAGCTGAAAACACCATAAGGAACAAAGGTCTCAGTCTACCACAAATACGCTACCGAAAGCAAGTGCAAACTGCAACGCAGACATTGAATAGAGGAATTTAAGATAAAAACCTGAGACTTAAGCTTTTTGTTTTCCTCTTCAAGTTCTCGTTCCTGATAGGTTAATTCATATAAAACATCGTACGCAGATGATACGAAGTTAGACCAAAGATAAGAGTTGCATTTCTTATTATTTGCAGTATAATTAAACCAAAACTATATATACATAGGTTGTAGACACTTAATTTTGTTTATAACAATTTGACACCATTGATTTAGACTAATTGTTGCATGTGGGCTAAGATCATTATTTTTTAAGCCCATTACACGGTCCATTTTAAAAGTCCCATTAAATGGCCCATTTCTTAGCCCAATTAAGCTGACCATCTAATTTGGCCCAAAACCAAAGAATGAGGCCCAAGACTGATAAAAAGGAAAGGCCCAATTAAGGGTCCATTTGCAACCCAAAAATGAGAGCCTAAATGAAGTCCAATACGTGACCCATTTAAAAGCCCTTTATATAGCCCATATTGTGGCCTAATTAAGGGCCCAACTTCAAGCCTAATTCGTGGACCATTTTAAGACTAGTTTATGATCCATTCCAAGGCCCATTTAGAAAGCCCAAACAAAAACCAAACTTGTGTTGATTGATCAAATCATGGCCTTAACATAAGCCTAAAACAACAAAAAAAAAAGGGAAAAGAGTTGGTACACTGCCAAATGCGGCCCGAATGATGAAAGCCTAAAATAAAAGAGGAAGATTGCCCGTAGTGCGTGAGACTCGTGAAGCAAGCATGCATGAAAGCATGCTTAAAGGAAAACTAACAAAATAGAGGCTAAGGGAGCTACAAAATAAAAAAAAAAAAAAAGAGACAAAGCCTAAAAATGATGGTAGAGTGTAAGCGAAAAAAAACAAAATAAAAAACTTGGTGAGGAAGGTTAAGGAGAGATATCAATCAATATAAAAAAAGAAAGCCAAAAAAAAAAAAACTTATTAGGCAAATAAATGTCTAGGAGTTGGAAGAAAAAAAAAGAAAAAAGAAGAAGAGCTTGAAGCAGAAGAGAGAAAGCTTATCGTAAAAGGAAGAAAAGCTACTGCCTTTGGAGGGTAAACATAAGAAAAGTAGTCTTTTTACTTAGAATTCTAGTTACTTTCACGCATGTGATGATGTCCATGCTTTCTTTATAGGTTTGGAAAGCTATCATCTTGGATTCCATATAGGGTTAACAACAAGAAATAAGGTTGAATGTTTTTTATTTGGGATTTATGGGGCTTTCTTTTTAAAGAATGGTTAAAGGTGCATGCTTGATGAATTAAAATGAGAAAGACCTTTCCTTAAAAAAAACCTTAAGACAACTCATTAAGCTATTTTTTTTTCTTAGATGAACTGGGAGCTTTAAACTTTATTTTTGAATGATGGTTGTTGGCTTTGAAATAGAAAAAGAGCTTTCCTTTTTTGCCTAACAAAAAAAAAAGAACTTGAAAGCTTTCAAATCATATAATCTTGGGCACTAATCGGTGAAAGGAACCAATTTTTAAAAATGACTTATAAAACAAGGAAAGAAGTTGGTTAACATGGGGAGCAAAAGGCTTAAAGTTTTTTTTTTTTTTGTTTTTCTATTCCTATTGCTTGTTTTCGCGTAAGGTTTACATGTAGAAACCCAAAGCTTTAACTTTTTCATGGTTTTTGGAAAGCTTAAACACCTTGGTTTTATCCACCTATTCGTGAATAACCCCAGCTTGGTTTTGAAGCTTCATATTCTATTTTCTATGAAAAAGAAAAAAAAAAAACTGGTTTAGGAAAAAAAAGGGCTTTGGTTTTGTTCTGACCTTCTATTTATCGAAGCTCTCTTTTTTGGTCATTACCCCCCGGTTATCATGAAAAAGAACCTTTCCTTTGTTTGAAACCAAAAATTACCTTAAAGAAGTCCTTTTTCTTTGGCAAAAAAATAAAGTCTCTAAAACTAAGCATAATAGTGGGCTGTAAAAGAAAATGGTTTAAAATCTAGGTTTTCATTACTTACTTGCTATTTCCACTTGAAGATTGTTTGTAGAAACCCTTTAAACTTCAACCTTTGCATGTTTTGATTTCATGGGTACCTTTTTTTTTGCATGAAGTTAGTTGATTGGAACTTAAAGCTCCATTGGTTGCATGCTCTATTTGCATGAAGTTCATGTTTTACATTGGATTTGCCACGTTTTTCCTTTTTCCTTTTCTTTTCCTTTGCATTGGCTTAATATATCAATGTTGCATAGAGTTTAAGAATCTCAGTGAGGCTTTTGTTTGCTATCAGTTTCTGCAATAGCTTGAATCTATGTTAAAGACATAAAGCTTGAGTTTTCTATAGTGCTCGAAGCTGGTTTTAAAAGTTTCTATTTCGGCTTGAGTGGTTTTTGGATCAAGACTTAGGTTAGGTTTCTTTTTGCATAAAGTTTGGGGATCTTACAGTGAAATCTGGTTGTCTTTCAAATCATAAAATTGATGGACAGCTTCTATGCTAAAAAAAACTGAAATGACATTCTAAAAAGGGATGATGACTTTAAAAAAAAAAACAAAAAAAAATTTTAGATTAATTAAAAATTAAAAAATTTTAAATTAAAAAGAAAGCCTTAGGTATTATAATTTTTTTAAGTCTGTTGCTTGCATTGTTGTTTTTGTAATTATTATCTGATTGTTTTTTATTATGTTTGCTTTTGTTGGTTTATAACATTAGCATTATAAATTCACATGCATATGTCATTTTCACTACATCCATGCATTCATTAGCAAAAAAAAAGAAAGATAATAAAATAATAATAATAATAAGGATAATAAAATATCCAATTTTAGAAAAGTCATGAAAAACGAATTTGCTCCGAAAGTTCGCCTAGATGTTGAGAATTTTGAGTAACGTTTACAAAAATACAAAATCCTAAAACCTTAAAATAAAATCCTAATTCCTAAAAACCTACCAAAACCCTAATCTTGAAACCTAAATCCAACCCATAACCTTAAATTATTTAAACTCCCAAAATTACTCAAATCCCATAACTTTGGCCTATACTAACCATCCCAAAATTCTAAAGATTTGTATGAAAATTTCATATAAGATAATCTGTTCTTGAATATTTCTTAAAAAATGAGGTGCTTAGGAAAATTTATTTTATTAAGTTTCTCGTATAATTCTTTAACCCAAAATAATAATAAGATTAGACAACAAAATGGAAATAAAAAACAAGATCTTAAATACAAATAGTTGCATCTAAATTTTGTTTAGTGGTTGGGGAGTTCAGGTGATCTCTTTATATTTAAAGACTCGATTTCAAAATTGCATCTCATCATCATGAATAATAACATTTGCATCTCTTTATTTTAAGATTATCGCTTGCATTCATTCCTCTTGTTATGTCTTTTAATCATTTTTATTTATTAGTTAATTGTAACATCCTCAATTTTTTGCATAAATGTTTTTTTATGGAAAATGTTATTCAAAAATTTGGAATTTGAAATAAAACTAAAGTAACATTTTAAGAGAAATAATTTTTGATATTTTATCCAGATGCTGGAGAGTCACCAATAATTATTATTTGTAAAAAATGTTATTTTAATTTTAAAGAATATTGTGGTGAACTAAGGTAGAAATATTTATCTTTAAATTATGTCTAGATATTGGAGAATTTTAAGATAATTCTTTAACCTAAAAATTTTCACAATATTCCTAAATAAAGATTTTTAACAAAATTGATTTTTTTTTAAAGTGAAGGAAATTATTATTAAATTTCAAATTGAAACATTTTTATCCAAAGCTAAGATAATGCATAATTAATTGATATTATTTTTAAACAGGGGAAAATGCGGGTGCTAATATTTCCTCATGCGTAACTGTATTTTCAAACCTGTTTTGTTTTCAAAGGTCCAAAAAATATCTTTTAGTAAAGCTTAAATTCATTTTTGGTTTTACTAAAAAGATAAACTTTTTAAGTGGCCAATCATACATGATAAAAAAAGTTGGTGGTGGCTCCCCCTATTTTTTTTATTTTTTATTTTTTATGTCCTAAGGTCAAGTTTATGGACCTACACATGGTGACAGTTTAATGACGCAACTAGAGAATTTTTTTTAGAGTCAAGTTGAAAATTAATCATGTGTTATCTCAAACTTTGGATTTAATGGTTTTAATTGACATTTAATTTTAATTCTCTTTCATTTTATTTTGCTCAAATATTGCATGGTAGTTAGCATGCCACTCTATTTTTGTTATTTGTTCTGCCCTTGTACTTTTTTTAATTGATACATGTTTTCACCCACACTTTGTATAATCACTTACATGTATGAGCTCTAGAACCGGGCTTTGTCCTTATTAGGAGAAAGTTAAGTAACTACGTTTTCATGAAATGATAACCTCTGTATTTGTTAGCAAAATACTTTCACTCAAATTGAATTATTTCCATTCGTAGCCTATAACGGATGAAAATCATAGTGCCTTACTAGTTCATAATAGATAATAATGTGAAGGAACAATCTAGGAATCGTTAACGAATAAATCCTAACCCAGCATGTTGCAAGCCATAAGGAGATAGCCTAGGATAGAGCTGTGTTGTCCTCCTTAGGAAAATTATCTAAAGTTAGGATACCGTGTATATTATGTTCTATTATATGCTATATTATTTCCATGATTGATTATTTATTTTGTTTTGATTATTGATTAATTTCATTTTTTTTCTTTACTTTTGCTGCATGCATCATGTAGGCATCACATTTTAAGAAAAATATTATTTTGGGTGAGTTATTAGCAAGGGAAGCTCTCATGAAGCCATTGATAGTATCAGGTACCTGTAAGAATTATTTAAAATTTAAGGGTTAGTAAGAAAGCACTTAGGAAAAAGAAAAAAAAAACTACTTATAGGTTGGTCATGTCTCTATGCTTCCTTAATCAATATGTGGATTTGAGTTAGAGTCACGTAGTTGAGTTAAAGGTCATATGAAGATAGTGGGGAACAGAGAAAAAAGAGTTTTTCCTGAAAAAATATGAGGATATGGCACTATTTATGTCAATGAAGATTGATGAATCACCAATCACGGTTGCAGTGCAATTTTGGGACTCGTTGTACCAATGCTTTGTGTTTAACCAAGATAACTTAACCCTTACAATAAAAAAGTATTCATCCCTGCCTTAGATAAAATCTGCCAGCCAAGATAAAATCTACTGGAAAGAGTAGAAAACCATAAATATAGAAAGAAATTAGCAAAGATTATATAAGTAGGGGTTGAGAAAGCAAACAAGCATAAGAAGGAAAAAAATGGGTTAAAGACAGTTCCCTTAGCATTTCTATTATAACATATAATGAAGCATTTAGATGATGACTACGGATTAGATTTGTTTGCCTTGGTTGTGTATGGATTGATGATATTTTCCAAGGTATTGGGACATATAAAAGCATCGATAGTTGAATTTTTCGAGCAACTAAACAAAAGCATAAATCCATCATCGACCATCCTAGTTGAGACCATCAAATCATTAAACTTTTGTTAAAGAAAAGGTGAAAAATGATTTATAGGATATGCTTAGTTGCTCTATATTTGGATCCGAAGTCATTTTTAGGGAAAAAAAAAGATATCATTTTAGCTTTTCTCTACTCACTTTATTCCGATCAAAGAGGTCTTCACCGAGGAATGGTAAAAGGATTGGATGAAAGAACAATGGATAGCATTCTTTCTAAAGCTCACTAGTGAGGCCATAACATGGAGAGCACCATGAATGCTTCTCACAGCCGTATTGTATAGTTGTGGAGATAAAGCCATGGGTATCATTACTAGGAATATGGGGTACAATAAGCTCTGCGCCTCTTATGGTCCAGAGGCAATATGATTTCCATCAATTCATCCCTATGACTCATTAACTCAACTTTCTCAAGTTTGATTATAGGGCACTTAATTACATGAAAAAGGTTCGAAAGGTCATTAAGGCATGAAATAGATTAACTGAATGAGCCTTGCCAGGAATGCAGACAATGTTATGAAAGTGTACCTTGCATAGATAATGAAAAGGGTCAACAAATTTAAGCTTTTGCCAATAGATGTTTCAGATCAACTGCCTATCCCCACATCCAAGCCCATATTGACAACTCTTGAGATCACCTAGTGTCGAGAGCAAGAGGATAAAAAAAAAAATGATGATGATGGATCAAGTTAATTAGTTGAGGTATGACTTAATGATGAAAGACGATTCATTACAGAAGTTGGCCAAAAAATGAAAAGTGTTGAAAGTGGATTTGGAATACTTATATTAAAAAAATAAAAAGTTGAGAATGGATGTTAGGCCTTCAAGAGGATCTAAGTAGAGAACGAGTATTTAAGAAAAATGATGGAGTATTGCAAAGGTAGAATTCGAGAAAACAAGAAAGTTGTCATCCCACTCACTCAGGAGTGATAGACATAAAAGGACAAGTTTTCTTAAGTTTTTGAAGAAAACAAGCAATTAAAGGACAAATTAAAGGAAAAAGAAAGCACGAATTTGGCTATACAAAAAAAAGAGAAAATACATAGGAATAAGAGTTGATAAGTTTGGAAGACCAACTGGCTGAGAATCAAAATCACATGGCCTAACTAAATGGCAAGAAAGAGAGATTGAACAGGCCTGTATCTATAACATGAAGTAAAGACTCGAGAAATGCAAAAAGTAAAAAGCTTAGGGAGGTAGCAACACATAAAGTACTTCACTTCTCATATCTACAAGGCTATCTAAAAGGCTGAAAAAAATGGTGGAAAGAGCGAAAGCACATAAATGGGAGATCATACTGACTCAAGGTTACAGCTAGCGATTGTTAGATTTTTTATATGAGGCTAGGGAGTAGTATACTGAAGTCAAGTGTTTTTATAATTTTAATGAAAGACTGATTGAATGATGTGCAAGAATTCTTATGGTTAATGAAAGTTTTTTTTTTTGCTTAAATTAATCCCAAATAATACCCCATTTGCATTACTTTCATTTTATAGGTGCAATTTAATAAAAGTAAATTAATAACAATAACAATCATAATAATGTTATACCATGCACTCTAATTCATGATTAATAAATAAAGGTTCAAGGATAGCAAGGCTAAAAATTTCAAATCAAGCAATTGCACATAGATATAACACCTGTTCTCAATCTTAAATCATAGAGTAAGAGAACATAGCTAGGTTCAAAAGGGTCGAAAAAGCACATAAAGAGATAGGGGAAAAAGTGATGAAAATATAACAAAATATTGAGGCATAATTGTCTGAATTGAAACAAATGCTAGCCAGCTCACTAAAGGGTAAATGAGTTGCTGGTATAAAAAGACCATGAGATGGGATTTATACGAAAAAACCATTATACCCTCTAGGTTTTGGCCTACCCTAAGTTCAAGTTTTTCGAGGAATCCATTTATAACCCATCAACTGCATAAACTTACACCATGCTGGTCCGTTTGCTACTTAACTTCAGATTCATATAAATGTCAACCAAGGATCTAGCCTTATTGATCCCATCATGATACCAAACCTAACAACCTTGCAAAACAAGAAAAGTTATGTGGCATATTTGAGCTAGTTGTGAATGTTGAAATGCAAAACAAGTATGACCTACTTGAAGAAAGGCTTAGAGCAGTAGAAGGGAATGACATCTACGAAAACATTGATGCAAATAAGCTTAGTTTGGTGCCTAACTTAGTCATTCCAATAAAATTTAAGATTTCTAATTTTAAAAAGTTCGATAGAATGAAATGTCTCGTTGCTTATATTACCATGTTCTGTCAAAAAATGGTAGGTCATACCTAAAATGACAAACTTTTGATACATTATTTCTAAGATCGTTTGGTTGGGTTGCTAGCAAGATGGTATGCTTAGATGGATCAGGGCTAGATCCATTCCTAGGAAAACTTAGCTAGAGCTTTCATAGCTCAATATAAACATGCCATTGACACAACCTCAAATGGGTTGTCATTACAAAATATGAAAAAAAATTGATAAAAACTTTTAAAGAATATGTGCATTTATGGATAAATACAACAACCTAGGTCCAACCATCGCTAATCTAAAAAAAGATTATTATGTTATTTGTTAGCAAACTGAAGGCCCCATACTATGATAAGTTGATTGGAAATCTTACAAAACATTTCTTTAACATGGTGATTTTGGGAGAAATGATAGTGCCATCAAGAGTGGCAAAATTAAAAGACCTAGAACTCTCTGCATTAAGAAAATGGCAAATCCAAAGAAGAAAGAGCTGGAGACAAATGCAGTCACTTATGGAAACCCCTCATTCTGCCTTTTCATCCCATATAACCTAAGCCCACAATATTCCTCTTGCTATCTAACCACCAATCAAGTCACCAGCAACCATATCATTACTAAGCATCCCAGTAACAACCATACAAGCCGAACATTAATCCTCAACTGCCTAATTTTAATCCTATACTACCAATTCAACCATTTATCCAACCAACCATTTCAACCAATAGCTAAAAAAACCCACAAAACAACAACAATTGAGAAAATGGTAAGTTTGACCCAATCCTTATGACTTACACCAATTTGTATTCTCTATTGGTGAAAAGATTCCTTATAGCATGCATTTACATGAAACCATTAAAGTCACCCTACCCAAGATGGTATGATCGCAATGTCAAATGCGACTACCATTATGGTGTGGTAGGTCATTCCACTGAAGATTGCACAACTCTTAAATATAAGGTGCAGGGATTGATAAAGGAAAGACTGCTAAATTTCAATACCAAGGCTAAAGCCAATATTGGTAGAAATCTCTCCCCAATCATAGTAGTGGTGCCACTAATGTGGTGATGGACGAGTAAGGGGTAAAAGTGAAAAGATGGGTAAATGAAATGAAAACCTTAATAGAAAGGTCTTTGATTGCTCGGTTAAAACAAAAATGATTTAATTTACAAATGTTGATAGCAACAGTATAGATAATGATCAAGATTGTCAATTTTATGAAAAAAGGTGGGGCATTCAGTCTAAGAGTGCCAAGCGTTTCAGAAGGTGTTACAGTAATTAATGGATAAAGTTGTAATATACTTTTATGTCGAGGACAATGTCAATGATGTAAACATGGTAAATGAATTTTCAAAAATGCCTTTTATTCCCAAACCTATCACCACATTCTATGATGATGAGCATGAGCCAATCATGGAAAACCAGTTTATCTCTCCAAAACAACACTAACTATATATGTTCCCTGTCTATTCCCATATAAGAGTGACAAGTCAGTCCCATGAAATTACAATTATAAGGTGGAGGTTCAAGGGCTTAATGATAAGGTCGCTCTAGAAACATAAGATTTGAAAATACCATAAATATAACAGGAAGTGAAAAAATGAACAAGAGTGGTCGTTGTTACACCTGAGATGTTAAAAAGAATTAGAAAAGGAAAGCTAAAGAAGGAGAAAAAGTCATAATAGAAGTAGAATCTGGTTTCATAGTGCCAAACTCGGAGGTGCAACACTAAAAATCCATATCAGAAAAAAAAGCCTATGAATTTCATAAAATTATCAAGTATAGTGAATACAATATGGTAGACCAACTGAACAAACTCTCAGCTCGTATTTCGTTGTTGTCACTACTATTAAACTCGAAGTCACACAGGAATGCTTTATTGAAAATGCTTAATCAGGCTTACGTTGAATACAATATTTATGTTGAAAATGTAGATCAAATGGTTAGGAATATCATAGCCTTTAATTTCATCACCTTCAATGATGATGAAATACCTTTGGAGGGATGACGTAATGTTAAAGCCTTGCACATTACTATTAAGCGTAAAACCCATATTATAGCTAAAGTACTAATTGATAATGGGTCATTTATTAATATGATACCAATGACCATTCTATCAAAGCTTTTAGTGGACCTATCCACATAAGAAACAACCATATAATGGCAAAAGCTTTTGATAGAGCACAAAGAGAAGTGAGTGATAATATAAAGATCCCATTATAGATCGACCCATGTACTTTTAATGTCCAATTTCAAGTAATAGATATAGCGCTTTCATATAGTTGCTTGCTCAAAAGACCTTGGATTTCAATAGCGGGGGCTATACCATCATCCTTACACTAAAGGTAAAATTCATCATTGAAAAGAAGCAAATTTGTCTGGATGGAAAAAAAGACTTACTAGTGATCAAAATCTTAACTACTCTTTATGTCAAAACATCAAAAAAGTGCCTGAGGACTCATTTAGAGCTTTTGAGGTAGTAAACACTATCTATGTTAGAAAAGGATTAAATATACCTATCTCTTGATTATCAAAGATCACAGGTACGATAATTAAACAAACCATTAGCAAAGGTTGGCAAGCTAGACAAGGTTTGGGAAATGCTTTACAAAATATCAAGAAAATGCTAGTCATGACTAAGAACAAAGAGAGAGAAGGTTTAGGTTACAAACCTATTGCTACCAATAAGAGAAGGATGATGTTGGATAGAAGAGAAAATAGAATGGCATGCCTCAAAGGGCATGAGTTAGTTGGTGGAAAAAATGCTGTTTCCCTATTTGTACAAGATGTTCTATTCTGGCGGGTATGTTTATCCTAGGTTGTTAGATGTTGGAAAAGGTGAACTAACTATAGAAGTAGAAGAAACGTTATCTCAAGTTCAGATAAATGGCGATGAAAAATAGATGCAAGAAAAAGAGATGTTCATTTTTCCTTTTATAGGTTAAGAGGTCTAAGAATAATCCTTGAACCATCCAAACTTATAATTGCTTTTACCTAAGAGCAAACGAAGGTCAAATGTACATATCAGCTTACTTTATTATCCTAAT